ATCAGGATGGTTGAGCATGGCAGGTGCGTCAATAACAAAGACACCAAATCCCTCATCTACAGCCATATTCTTGACACAGGCCACTCTTTCGATTTAACTTCACCCACCACCTTATACAACAACATCTCCAATAAATACCAAAGACTGATCATAGAGGCCATTGTATCCATATCAAAAAATAGCATTAACCGACATATAGATTTACCTGCACAATATCAGGATATATGTAATAACTTGAATAACCGTTAAACCCCCCCCCCCCCTCCCCCAGTATAGTTCCAATATGGCCGCTGATGGCGGGTTGAACAGTCGATATCCTAATACTAGTCTCTCTTCATTATATAGTCACATGTTTTAGCCAATTACAAACCTACCATTTATTTGTCAACCGGCATTACAGGATTAGCATAGTTACATAAATATATGATACAATAGTTTAGATTTGCAAATATTTTTTAACTAAATTGTTTTTTAGCCGTCCTATATTATTTTTCTCATATGTAAATATATCTTAAAAAACGGAATCCTATTTATGGCCTATTGCCATCATGTATCATTACCAGTTGAAGGGCGTGACTGCCCGAAAGCTCGTGTAGTCGATTATTAAAAATTATTCTCTCCTAACGCTTTATTCTATAGTATTTATAATCCAAGGAGAAAGTTTCCATGTTTAAAAAAGAGAATTATATGCATTGTTAATTATTTGCAGACGATTTCGCCATACATAGCTTCACTATCCTTTAATACTAATCTGTGGTGACCTTTGTGATTGCCTTCGCGAAAAAAAGGTCATTATAAATATTATATGAAGGAAATATACTAAATCCATTAAATTTAAAATTACGTATTATTGATCAGAGAATAGTCACTTACTTTCTCTTAATTTATATCAGGAGAAAATAGCTTGGTTAAAATATATTAAAAAACGAAAAATGTTGATTTGAGTCCTATACAAACATTGATCCCATGGATTCAAATAAGGGACAAGCCAACTATTTCAAATTCTAGTGGAATATCTATCTATATACACTGGTGTCCAAAAAATAAGAAACTGAACCAATATTGAAATTTCTCAAAAGCTAATTTATTAACAAATATAGAATTTAGTATACAAATAGTTTAAACTATGGAGAATTTGACTAGCTATATGAAAATAAAAAATATATTTGAAATTATGAAATATGCAAAATATTACCAACATACCCAAAGCTAAGGTTCCAGATCTTAAAGAAATAAGATATCAATAGGGAGTATGATCACCTCTAACAGCTATCAAGGTCTCACAGCGAGCCCTCATACTGTTTACCAGGCTTTGGAGGAGGTCCAGGGGTAGTAAACCCCACTCCTCCAATAGAGCAGTTCTTAGCTCAACGAGGGTTCTGGAAGAGGGGTAACGAGCTCCAATACGCCTCCCTAGAGCATCCCACACATGCTCTATTGGATTCAGGTCCGGAGATCTGGCTGGCCAATCCATCCTTCGAATATTCTCACTTTGGAGATATTCATTGACTAGCCTAGCTCTATGCGGACGAGCATTATCGTCCATTAAAATTAAATTGTGACCAATTTGATCTCTATAAGGTCTTAAATAGGGCTCAAGGATCTCGTCCCTGTACCTTTGGGCAGTTAAAGTGCCCCCAGAAAAAATGTGGAGGGGTGTGCGTCTGCTAGAACTAATGCCAGCCCAGACTAAGAGACTGCCCCCTCTAAAACTGTCTATTTCCCTGATGTTACTGGGATGATAGCGGGTTCCAGGCTTCCTCCAGATGAAAACTCGTCGATAATCTGTGTTTAAACTAAATCTTGACTCGTCACTGAAGAGAACATTGGCCCACTGATCATGAGTCCAGGCGTGATGTTGCAAGCACCAATTCAAGCGGGCTCTCCTGTGAGCAGAGGTTAAAGGGATACAGACCATTGGTCGTCTTGCATAAAAAGCACCTTCGTGAAGCCTTCGGTAAACAGTTTGTCTTGAAATTCTCGTTCCAGTAGCACTTGAGAGTTCATTAGAGAGTTGAATAGCTGTCATCTCCCTATGGCGCTTGGCAGTTACGACCAGATAACGGTCTTCAGAGGTAGCTGTTTTTCTTTTTCTACCAGAACCTTCTTTTCTTTTGATGGTTCCTGTCTCAATGAACTGTTTCCATATTTTGCTGACCACAGATTTATTCACATTTAGCCATTTTGCTACTTCAACTTGTGATTGCCCTGCCTCCATTCTTCCAACAGCTCTCCATTTTAAATCATCTGCTGAAATTGTTCGTAAACTCATAATTAACTAAGGATTAAATAAAATTATAATTGGACAATTCTTAGATGAGGTAAACGACACGCCGAATAGCACACTTATAAAGACAAGCAATAATTTGCATATATTCAATTTTACCGAATCGAATGGTTGCGATGAATATATTCTACGACTTAAAATACCTAATTAAATTACTTTTTAGCTTTTAGCGTTGTATATTTTAAAACATATCATTAAAAAATAAAAGTTTCTTATTTTTTGGACACCAGTGTATATATGAATGAATGTTTGTATGTATGTCCGGTATACAAATTCGCAGTAGTTCACTAATTCAAACCAAAATTTCCATACATAGGTAAAAAAATACTGGGAAGACGATAGGCTATTTTAAAAAAATATATATAAATCAATTATTAAAACTATATATTTTTAGTCAGAAAATTATGATGACGATATTGCTGTATCATGTATCTAAAATTTAAGTTTTATCTTTCTCAATCTAATGAACTGTTCAAGAAATTCTTTCCAATTGCTGTCCCAAATTTCATTTCTTCTGATAAATTCACTACTTTATTCTTAACTGGCAAAGGACCCTTCTTAAGTTTCTTATTCAAACTGAATGCTATCAATGATCCAACATGTGAATGCCGCTTAGATGTTGAATCACCAGAGCATCTTCTTTTATCTTGCCCTCTGACTAATCAAATTGTATGTAGATACTTTGAAACATTACCAAATTATCTTTGTGTATATACTCTATCTTATGAGAACTTTGTTAAGTTTAGAACTATTTGTACAATAATTTACAAAACAATACTAATCCATCGTGTAAATAATTAATAATATATATATAAATAATACTAGCACAGCACAATAGTCCTTTGGACTTCGTGCTTTTGTAACAATAAATAAATAAAATGTAAGATTATTAGATAAAAAATATATCGGGAAAAATTCCAAAAAGCAGAGACCACGGGTGAAACCAGTTCATTATTTTGTACGCAGGAACAAAATTCTAACAGAAAAACATTCATTCGAGCAGAAAACAAAAGCCAGATCATCTTTCTATAAAAATATCGCTTCTCAGACACAAAGTTTGGAGCGGGACGTTTCACAAGAGTGATATCCACGGCGCCAATTTATAATTGTAACGAATAGTATTTGAATAAAAACATTTAATCGGGTAAAACCCGGGCGTTGCCCGGGTCATTCGGCTAGTATATATATATATATAAAGATTAAATATGCTTTTATTATCTTCTCAAAGATATTTGTCACCTATTGTCACATTAACAATTGACCTATTTTATCGACATTTAGGAGGCAATTCTTGAGCTCAATGTTTACATGGAATGTAATATATTTGGAATTCTCATATTAAATTCAGATCTTGTGAACCTGTCAAGCTAAATATAGTCAAACTAGAAAATCCTTTATCACCCTTGAGATATTTCTTTATATCTTTTAAAAGAGAGAGAAAATATTTATTTTATTTTAGATTTACTGCTGCTGGAAATGAAAGGTATATTATGTTGCGCAGAATTGGTAATAACGTATTTTTATATAGCATACAAAATATCTGTTATATTGTAACATTGAAAATAAATATCCGTTGTGTAAAATGTTATATAAATCATGTATTTTATATAAGTTATATTTCTTTGGTTATACAGTGGTATGGGTTTTACATTGATATTTTAAATGATATTTTATGCATAAATTGTGTAATTAAAACAATATTGTTATGTTATATTAAAATATTATTTCATTTAAAATTATATTTCATAGATTCAAATACTCTGCTAAATCGACCGCCAGAGATCACGCTTCCCCTGTAAATACTCATTGTTGTTGTTTCCCGATGGCCGGCTCAAACCTTTTGTACATTATGTAAATAAGTATTTTTTTTTTTTTATTCTTACGCCTTAAGCCAGGCAGTACTTTTATCAAATTATGTACCATAATACTCGCTATAATATAATAGTCGCTATAGTAACCAAATAATTTATAAGGAGATTAATGATTTATTAAGAAAACCGTGAATATTTACAATTAATAAAGGCATAATATTGAGCTCTAGTTAAAATGTTAATATTTTTCTTTAATATTATCAAATGTATTCTACGGGAAATTTTATATATAAAAATAGTGTATACAGAATTTATAGGGCAATTGTTCTAATGGGGTTGTATATGAAATATTTTGAGAAAGTTATTGATGTATGTAATTTCAGAAACAAGATTAAAATTATTTTTAAAAATGGATATCATCAAATATATACTTGAATATAAAACTGATATGATCATATTATTATATATTCATCTCTAAAAAGTACTTTTATTCCATTTAAGACTAAGTAATGCATATATATAAGTATATAAGTTGCATTAATACACCATTAAAAAAACTTTTTTCTTCGAATTCATACTAAAATATTATCTTTTGTTACATTTGATTTTCGGAAATTGATAATATCAAAGTGAATTTACCTCATGTATATGTTTTATTCATTTCACGCGGAAATATAAACTCGAAGAAATATAGGGAGATAAAAAAGTGTTATTTTTTCATTTCAATTTTTAAAAATTTCCTTATGTGGATGCGACAAAGAGAGATCCCAGCGGGTGGTCAGGCAGTGCGGGGCAGGCTTCCAAGTCCGGTCGACGGAGAAGAGGGGCGGCTGTGGTCGACGCAGGGACGGCGGGGTCGGGGCCTCGTGGGGCGTCGAGGCAGGGGCAGGAGGTGGAGGTGGACTGGCGGGAGGTGACGTGGGTGGCGATGGTCCGGCGGGGAGACCATCGGCGAGGGTGGGCCGCGGGTGGGTGGCGGCCACCCACGGCAACTCCTGGCAGATGGAGCCCAGGAGCTCCTGCGCATACGGAGAACATTCAGTACCACACTCTGAGACAATATGTAAACCAAATATTCTTATCTCGCTGCTGCCACCCACTACTCCTTGATGTTAAGTTCGCTCATTTCTGTGGCTGTGGAGGTCATCTTCTCCCGCCAGTACAGCATCATCCTCACGGCCTTCTCCTGCTCCACCGCCTCCTACCGGACCTCTTGTCGGAGATGTTTTTCTAACTAGGCCGAGGCCGCCATGAGGAGGGCCCCGACTTTGTAGGTTGGCTGGTATGCCCGCCGTCGACACTCCGGACAGAAGTACCTCGGGGTGGAAGGTAGGAGGTCTGGAATGGTGAAGTCCAACCCCGAGGTGAAGAAGCTGCCGTCCTCCATTCACACCCAAGGTATTGATGTTAATGCCTTGGGTGCCTCGATGTCATCGAAGAACCGGACTTGGTTGATGTTGGCGATGGTGATATGTGGGGGGCGATGTCGTTGCCCCCCTGGCCTGTTGAGATTTCCTCCGCGCTGTCGTTTGATTTCATCGCTTGACCGCTGGGATCGCTTCTTGGCGCATCCACACAGATTTCCCATTTTTAGGATAGTGATTAACCCATTGTTAGCCTAATTTATATAGCTAACAATTCGAAAAAGAATCTATTTAAAAAAATCTATATCACACCCTTTACATTCTCATATATATTTGTTGTATGGGTAAGAATTCAATTAAAATTATATTATTTCTTCGAACAATTTTGAATTTATATTCATTGAATATATAATGGTTGTAATGAACAACATAAAGATCAATTGAGAAATATGCAATGTGTGGTATTGTACCAATATAATGAAAATATAACCTAAGTTGTTAGTGATGGTGTAATCAGTTAACCTCAAAACAATGTATGTAGTGTTTTTCAATATTTTAAATATTGATTTAAAGTTCTTGGCAAGTTAGCTAGGGATTAAATATCGCAGACCAATCGTAGCAAATAAGTCTGCACCTTTACATTAGCAGTTGTTGGCAGGCAAATACTGGGAACATCAGTATCATAACATATATCATAACTCGTATACTAGACAAATGACCCTGACAAAAGTTATTACTTTTGCGGATTTAACACACAAAAAATGGAATAAGCTAGGGCCTAAATTAAAGTACCTTAATACACAGAAAAGCATACACTCAAGAATACAACACTAACAACAAAAGGGAGATAAAAACAACTCACGATTTGTTAAATAAAATAAAAAAATACTTAGCTTTATTGTAGCGTTGGGAGGGATCGGACTGGGGACACAGGGATGCCAAGAGAACAGCCAGACAGGGAAAACCGCCAGTAGAAAAACCACTTTAAGTGGCTCCACACAGATTATCCACGCACTCTCTGTTCTTGCCGCATTCCCTTCGTCCCCTTTATATACAAACATGGCCACATTCGTCCAATGAGAAGGCGTGAGAGATTTGTTCACCAACAACCGAAAACAACATTCTTACCGCTAGAAAACTGAACAGAAAAAAAATGCAAATGTTTGTCAAGATAAATTTGACAAAAGGTATCCTTCCAACAAAAAAAAAAAAAACTAACCAATCTCCCAAACATTCTCATTGTCCCGTAAGGAAAACCTCCCGCTGATCGGGAGGGAAAAGCTCACGGGAGCGATGTTACAAGATAAAAAAGGATTAACTAAAGAGAGGAGAAGAAATAGGCCTCCGATGTCGTTCCGAAAATTTGCCTCCCATCTTGGACCATGGAACAACAACAGGAGGAAAGCCAACTCCTGCACAAACTACAGTGAATTACCTTGAGTAATTCCTTAAAACCGCATATCTCTGTATAAACATGGAGGGGCAATACGCTTTCATCTGGGATTTGCAGGGCGAGGATTTGGTCTCAGAAAATATGGGCTGAAATGTGCCCTGTCAAACCCCCCATCGACCACAGTAGATTCGTCATGAGAATCTCCATTCTCCTGGTCGGGAACAGTCGTGTTCTCTAGCGGTGGTGGGGACATCTCTCGGCGGGGAGAGATACGACAGGCACTCCCACCTTCCAGAGCCAAAGGAATCATCCTTTTCCGAGGATAGCACTCGCGTTTTGCAGCTGCGGGCTTTCTATTTCGCATGCTCCTGAATGCCTTCATTCTGACGATATGCACAACATGTTCATCGTGCATATTGACTCCCCGCACTCTGAAATTTACCTCAGACACTTTAGCCACCACACGGAAAGGTCCATAGAATTTTGCGGAGAATTTAGAGGATCCCTTGCCCTTAGGAACAGCCAACAATACCAAATCCCCCGTCTCAAAGGTTCTCACAGTCTGAGCTTTATACTTCTTGACTCGTTCATCATAGTTTTCAGACAAGAATTTCCTAACAGTGTTTCCCTGGCATCTTGCATTTCCTTCAGCCTTTCCGCCAAGGATGGCTTTCTGAATTCGCTCACATCTTTATCGCTAACCTCATGATTTACTGCATCGTAACCAAAGAGCATGTAGTGGGGGCTCTCACCTAACGCTGAGTGCACGGCATTATTGTACGCAGCAACCGCCGCACCGAGGTTGTCTTCCCAATTCCTGCTATTGGCATAGTGACGCAGAATGGAACAAATGGTGCCATTAACTCTTTCAACAATCGAGTTGCAGGTAGGACGATAAGAAGTTGTGGATAACTTTTTAATACTATATAACTTACATATCTCTCTGAACAGTTCTGACTCGAATGCAGCTCCACGGTCAGATAAAATTTCTTTGCACGTTCCATATCTGTTCACTATTTTATTGACAAATTCGAACGCAGCAGTCTCTGCAGTACAATCCCTGACGGGGATAACCTCAGCGTACCTGGTGAAAGCATCAATGAACACGAGCAGGTATCTATTCCTGTTCCTAGACAAGGTAAGAGGACCCACGAAGTCTACGCATAACCTTTCGAAAGGGTAGCTAGCGGGTTGAATGGGCATATTAGGAGCCTTCTTAAGCCTACCTTTGTTCTCGGCACACACTGGGCATGTCTTCACGTACCTGCGTACATCAGACATGGCCCCCTTCCAATAGTAATGGCTTAAGACCGCGTAAAGTGTTTTCTCTACTGAGAGGTGCCCTCCTATGGGACTGCCATGGCACCTTTCCAGAATGGTATCGCGGAGAACTGGAGGTATTACGATTTGCTTCACCATCCTTCCCTTACGAGTGGGTCTACTGTCTGGACTGACCTTGACAAGATATCGGGTGAACTTGCTTATAAAATACGTGCCATCACTCTCTTCTACCTCACTGTAAGTGCTCAGAACCTTCTTGTAGATAGTTTGCCATACAGGGCAGTTCAGCATGGACTTCTCATAGTTGGGAATGGCAGTTACCCCTTCATAGACATCGACTACAGCAACCTCAGTATTATAGGTGTCGCGGGACAGCCAGTCAGCCATCGCATTCTCCTTCCCATTTACATGGAAAAATGTTGATTCCCTGTCCTGTAGCATCAGGGCCCATTTCATGAGCCTACGATTTTTATTCTCTAGTGACTTAAGATATTGCAATGGTTTGTGATCATAGTATATCTCCACCTGCTGACCATAGATGTAGTAGTCAAACTGTTCAATTGCCATAATTATAGCCAGACACTCCTTTTCTATGGTGCTGTAGTTTAACTCGGCACCTCTGAACTTATGGCTGTAGAAAGTAATAGGCTGCGGAGTGCCGTTCTTCAACTGTGATAACATACCGCCACATCCTATGTCGCTAGCATCAGTGAATATCATGAACTTTTTCCTGTAGTCAGGATGAATTAGGATGGGTGCAGAGCTAAGACAAGTCTTTAGCTTGTCATACACACGCTGCGCTGCCTCGTTCCACTCATACCTGGTGCCCTTCTTAGTCAACTCATATAAGGGGGCCGCTATTTCAGAGAAACCAGCAATGAATTTCCTATAGAAACCAACAGCTCCAAGAAAGCGTCTGACACCTGATACAGTTTTAGGAGGACTCATGTTTTTAATCTTTTCGATGTTGTTCTCCTTAGGATGAATGCCATCCTTGTCCACTCTGTGTCCCAAGAAGGTCACTTCTTCTTGAAAGAGCTGGCATTTGCTCGGCCTCACTTGAAGCCCATATTTTCTAAGCCTGTCCAACACCTCAGTTAAGTCCGCCAGATGCTGCTCCAACGACTCCGAGTATATCAGAACGTCGTCAATAAAACATTGGCAATTCTTGCCCAATAGGCCGCTTAGGATACGATTCATTTCTCTCTTTAAAATTTTACACAAATAAATTTACTGGCAATGCGTTTCTTTTTTAAATCTCTACAGACCTTACTGCAATGATATGATTTAATGAATGAGAGGGCTTGGCTCATCAGTAGTGAACCCTCTCAGCGGTTTCGCCAAATTAATCTCTAGACCGCTCTACTATTGTATTGGACTGGTTTTGTTATATACCCTGCATTTTCTATGGAAGGCAGCTAAATGGTGTTTAGTGAACTATGGACATAAGCTTATAGGTCTGTAGAGGTACATACATTATATGTATGTACCTCTACAGACCTATAAGCTTATGTCCATAGTTCACTAAACACCATTTAGCTGCCTTCCATAGAAAATGCAGGGTATATAACAAAACCAGTCCAATACAATAGTAGAGCGGTCTAGAGATTAATTTGGCGAAACCGCTGAGAGGGTTCACTACTGATGAGCCAAGCCCTCTCATTCATTAAATCATATCATTGCAGTAAGGTCTGTAGAGATTTAAAAAAAACAATGGTTGCCTGTAAAGTCGGTTTTACGGGCGAAGATTTTACGTGACAACGGTAGAATATTTATTGATATGAATATAATTAAATTGCACAATAGGAACAAGGAATTGAATGAAAATAAGAATTGCACAAATTTCAACTATAGAAATATATTTTGTTTACTAAAACATTGTACATGTAAGCTTAAACTTAACTATTTCCTATTTGAGTGATTTTGTTGAGGATAGGACGATGATAGGAGAAATATGAAATGA